CTCTCTCTCTCTTTCTTTCTTTCTCTAATAAATGATATGCAAAACAAAACAAAATAATCATTCATTTTACTGCTAAATTCATAGGAAAATTCAATGTCATTAAAAAATAAAACAAAAATTAATAGAAAAATATTTATTCGTTTAATTCAATGCATAGAGTCTTTACTTTACTAAAGACTGTATAATAGATGTAATCCACTTTAACAATCTATGTGAATTATTAAGAATTTTATGTTAAGTGGTCTGTAAAAATTAATAAATTCATTTGTTCTGACTATTTAAAATTATTTATAAATTTTAATTAATGGTGAGTGTATATTTATTTGATATAAAATTCGTTTGCTAGTAGAATAATTAAAACAAATTTGTTAAGTAAATAAATTTGTTAAGTCTTTATTTAACATATTATTTAAATAACAATAGTTCATTTAATTAAAAATTATATAAATTAATAAGATATTTATTTAGCAAATTATTGACTAACAAATAAATATATTTAATAGGATGACCATATGATCGCTGGCGTACTTATGTAATAAAATAATAAACATGTCGTCAACAATGGAAATGGAGAACAAAAGTGAAGTCAGAGATGACGGAACAGATGTGTCAGAAGTGGCTGTAATGACCGACATCGAAGACAAACAGCCCAACCCCAATTCAATACGCTATCAATTACGCAAAAAATGGCAGTCTATGACCATTCGCAAAAAACGCCGACTAATCATTAAGATTATATTATTCATTGTGTGTTTATCGCTACTTACTTATCACTCTTTATTACTCTTCGCGCAATATTTTTCCGGCAAAACTGTTGTCAATATAATACTAGAGCGCATACGTCCGGACCCAATGCCCGCCATAACTATATGCTATCCCTATGGACTGCGAATGGACGGTATGGCCCGACGATTCCCGGAGCTCAGGGACCAGTGGCTACACTACAAGCGCCTAATGGACAGCATTAATGAATACGACTATAAGAATGAGACATTGAAAGAGCATTTGATTGACATTTATGAAAATTTTACTAAATTTTATGATAAACAAAATTTACCGCTGGATTACATGTTCGACAGCGATGTTAGCATTCCGTTTGATTTGTGGAAGGATTCCGGCATAAATGACGATGGTAATCATACTCAGCGATCGTATTTAATCAGGATTACTTTGTATGGAGTGAAAAATCACCAAGTTATGAGGCATATGGAAGTGAACCCTATTGTCTCGGTGGTGGCCGAAGAGCCCGGCCATATACGCAAGTGTTTTACGTTTTTCAGCGAGCTCAATCCGAAATGGCGACAATTTCAGTTTAATTTTAACGAGGTAATTATGCAATTTAGTCACAATTCATAACAATTAATTATTTAGAGTAAATTGTAACTTCTCTTAATACAATTAAAAACAATGTCGGAGTAGTGGGAGGGGTGCAGAGTATAAACAACAATTTTTTTAATTTAATAGCAGTTGATAAAATATTTTTATTGATAAAAACTTTATTGATAAAATATTTTTTTATTGTAATTTAAATAAATAAGCTACTCGTAAAATTAAAATTTAAAATATAAATATTAATTACATGAGAGAGATAATAGAAGAGAAAGTGGCCAAAAGTCAAAGTTATTAATTAATTATAAATGCAAACTGCAATAAATTTTAATCAAACAATAGTATATTTGTCAAATATTAATTTAGTTTAAATAATGGACGCGTTTTAGGTCACGTTATAAGTTGTTTTTTAACATTTAAACATAACATTATAATTATAGAATAATATCATTTTTATTAAAACCACCTAGGTACTATTAACCATAACGCACAGCAAGTATTGGTTCCCACCGAACCTCTACGACCAGCCGTCGGGCAAAAACAAAATCCACTTTTCTCTGCACGCGGCCAACGCTACGCCCTATGACTTGCGATCGGAAAACTTCATCAAGCTCAAAATGAACCACCAGTACCAGGTTCAATTCTCCACCATTAAAACCGTACGACTACCTGCCCCATACGAAACCCGGTGCCGCGAATACGACCCTGATGCTGTCCGACAACAGGAGCGCACGCGCAGTGACTGCCGGTACAAGTGTTTTATGAACGATATATTGTCGCGACGTCTGTGTTGTCTCGACCGCCGGGACTATAGCGACCGCACGTGTAAATCATGTACCCTATGGTCGACAAATTTTATCCAGTACCATTTTGGTCAGGGCACTCGTATGTGCCCACACCTGTTGAAGGACTCGTGCGCACTCGTGGCCGACTACCGGTGCGATGACGTCGATCGGTGTGAACGCGATTGTCAGACCTGTCTATACGATGTGGACATTAAAGACAAGAATAAACTCATTGATACCGAGCCCTAGGATAAGGAGGTGTTCGTAGAGTTACAGCACAACCCACTGTTGGACCAGACGGTGACCCACGAGCCGGAAATGTCCCCGATTTCCTTCATCGCCAATATGGGCGGTTTGATTGGCATGTGGTTAGGACTGTCGGCATATATTGTGCTAGATACATTAATGAAATTGTTGTAGGATTTAATTTTAATGCTTAAATAATAGTTATAAAATTCATATACAGGTATCTTTAAATATGATATACATTGTATACTTAATTTTAATGTAAATTATCCATTTTCTTTAATAAAATGTGTTATAATGTTATATTAAGCAAAATAAAATTCATTTGAAGTTTAAAATTTGAATTTGATTACGATTGTTGTACAAATTTGTTATAATATTAATAACTAAATTATATAAGTAAGATTATTTTTACATTTTAATTAACGTGAGTTTATTTTAATTTGTCAATAAATACTGTAAACTAAATATTAAATAAAACAAATTTTAAATAAATTAAGTTAAAATAAATATGACTGGCTCATTTTCAACATTCGGATTTATTTATGATATCATTTTGTGATTTATTTGTGATTTATGATTTATATTTCATACAATTATCCACATCATTTTAAATTTAATATAATTTTATTTTGTTTCAAAACAACATCAAAAATGTTATTAAATAAATATATTAATAATTTACTTAAACTCTATCTCTCTCTCTCTCTTAAATAATTGATATGCAAAATAAAATCAAGATAATGTTTAATTGTTTTATTTGTTTTGTTTTACTGTTAAATTTATAAGAATTTTAAAGAACAATTAAAATAAAACAAAATTATCTATTTTAAATTCAATGTAGAAACTGTACATGATATAAAACTAACAGAACAATTTATGTGTATTATGTGAATTTCAGATTAACTGGATCTTTGTGGCATCGTGTTAACTTATTAAACTTGTTTTTATTCAAATTAACTTGTGGTTTATAATATTTATTTGCACTCTAACTCAGAATTAAGTGACAATGGGAATTTTAGGTTTGGTAATTTAATTTTGCAATCTAATCAATATAAATACTACTGTTTTTGAATAGCCAGTAAAAAGTATATTTAAAATGCTATTGAATTAAACTCTTAATTAAATTTAAACAATTACTAAATCAATTAATATCAACCAATTTACAAAACCTGCCATATTTTGAGTCAAATATATTGCCCAAAAGTTTATTAATGGATAAATTATATTGTATTTAACGATATTAAAAGTTGTTTAAAATTATATTGTACTAGAAGCATTGATGAAATTGTTATAGAAATTTGTTTTATTTAACAATGTCTCTTAAAATCACATAATTTTGATGCATGTTTAAGTAATTTTTAGTTTAACATTTTTATTTAGAATAATAATGGTATTGTAATTAAATTAATGGAAAAATGCATACATCTGTCATAATTTCAATAAGTTAAATGTTATATACAAGTAAATTAATTAATCACATGTTCAATATGTTAATTTTTAAATGACAATCAATTTTGTAATCTACAATACATTAAATACCGTAATATATAAAATTTGTTAAAAAAATATTATTATTAAACATAAAATCACTTATTTTGTATAAATAATTTCATTGAAACATACAGTATAATCTATAATGATGTACATAGAAAAACTGTAAATTAATAAATTTATACTAAATAAATTAAACTATTTATAATATTATATAATTAATGGATGGTGTTAGTACCAGCATTTATTTTTTCATTGATTTTTATTTAAATAAACTTGGCTGAATCTTATTAACATGCTTTGTTTACTAAATACATTTATTACATTTATTATTAATAATAAATTTACATAATATAAAATGTACGCATAGATCTGTAATTTGTAAATTAATAACTGAATTATAATTGCGAATCAATAAATAGTGTATATTTTGATTTTTAAAAATAAATACATTTATTATAATTAGATATTTACTTTATATTAATAGAAACAATTCATTGAAATTAATTTTTGGTTAGCTCATAAAGTTGTTATTTTTAAAAATTCTATCTAATAAAATATTAAAACATTATTTATTAGTTAATAGCTATATAATATAGTTAGTAATTAAAATATAATTAAAATTGCAAAAGGAGTATTTGCAATAGCATATATAAGCCAACAAGTAATTTTATGGTAACATTTTATTATTCAATCAATATTTCTAACATAATTACAGGTTTATACAAATAAATAATATAATCATATAAAATACTGTGTAATCCCAATAATACAAACTGTAACTAAATGTGTTCAAACATCAATATATAAGCTTAATATTAATTTTTTATTATAAATGGAAAAAGAAAACCGGGTCAGTAAAATTTTCATAAAAAAATAATAATGTTAAATGTTAAAAAGTAAGTTATGATTAACATTATAAAATAATAATATTGAACGTAACATAATAATATTTTTATTAAAACCACATACTAAGTATTATTAACCATGAGGAACAGTCGGTATTCTCACCGAATCTTTACCACCAGCAGTCGAACAAAATCAAAATTCACATTTATTTACACTCGGTCACTTGGTCTTATGATTTAGTTACAAAGAATTAAATTAAGCTTAAAATGAACCAAATGTACCAGGTTCGACTCTTTACTATTAAAACAATAAGATTTCCTGTCCCTTACAAAACTCGATGGCGTGATTACAAACCGACGCTTATGTCCGGCAGTGCTTATAATTTGAATGTCTATTGAAATTATATAATGGATTAATCAATAAATTTCCAATTTAATATTTTTATTTAGAATGATCACGGTTGTGTAAATTTATTAGAAAATGCATAAATGTCTTATAATATTGGAATGAGTTAAATATTATATATAAATAAAAATTAAATTCACATGTTCAATATATTTATTCTTAAATGACAATAAAGATTATAATCTACTATACATTAAATACAATAATTTATAAATAATGTGTGCTGATAAAACCAAATTATAAAGCATCAAATAAATTATTTTACACTAATAATTTTATTTAAAAAAAATTAAATATATAATTTATGCATAGAAAAACTGTAAATTAAATAAATTAAACTATTCATAACAATATAACAAAACTTTACATAGATAATAACGGGCTTAATGCAGGCAGTTCTATGGGTCTAATAAATAATTTTATAGCAAAATATAATAATTCAATTACTGATTCTAATGTAATTTCTGGTTTATACAAATAAATTTTATAATCATATAAAATTATTGATAATTCAATAGCTAATTTTAAATTAAAAAGTGTTGTTTAAACGCGATTGTCATACGATGTGGACATTAGGGATAAAACTACTAATTGTGAAACTCTCTCTCTCTCTCTCTCTCTTTCTCTCTCTCTCTCTCTCTAATAAATAATATGCGAAATCAAACCAAGATAATTATTTATTTGTATGTTTATACCATAAATATGCCATTATAACTACAATACAAATTAATTGTAAAATATGCATTTAATTTAATATAAAGTTACAATTTATTAAAAACTGTAAATTGAATGCTATTGTCAAAAACTATTTATGTGAATTATATTAATTTTATATTAATTGGGGATCAAAACCTCTTCACATATATTTTATTGCATTTTATAAATAATTAATTATAATCTATAAATTAAACTATAATGTAATATGAATGAAAATATAAAAATTTGTTATTATTTGTTAAATTTGTTATTTATCAATATCAAATAAAAAAAATTAATAGATATTAATAATATCATATTATTTAAAATCAAACTTTTTAAGTTTTTGAATTATTATTTTTTATGTATAAAATTCTCCTATATTTCTATTTAGTAAATCCACATGTAATGTGCCTATATAATTTAATCAAAATGTAATCATTATAATTATAAATGAAAGTAATAAATCTCTAAAAATATTATTATTATTTTGTAAATAATGTTTATATTTTAGAGATCTAATAAAAACAATAATGACAACTACAAATAATATATTTAATGAACAAAAAATTAATATTATTTACAGATTCCCGAATGCATGGAAACAAAGATAACTAAAGATTGAAATTATTTATTTAAATTAGTAAAATCAATATTTATAAAATATTTTTCTGATAAAATAGTAAATCCCAATAACCAAATAAATGTACCAAGTTTTACCATGTTCAACTCTTTACTATTAAAACAATTTGACTGCCCCTTACAAAACCCGATGGCGTGATTACGACCCGACGTGTGTTCGGCAATACTTATGACTTAAATGTCTATTGAAATAATATAATGGATTAATCAATTGATTTTCGAAAATATTTATTTAGAATTATCACAATTGTGTAAATTTATTAAAAAATACATAAATGTCTTATAATTGGAATAAGTTTCTAGTTATACACAAATAAAATAATTTTACATGTTCAGTATTTTTATTTTTAAATGACAATCTATATTATAATCTATTATACATTAAATACAGTAATTTATAAATTGAGTGTGTAGAAACAATCAAATTAGTAATTATCAAATCAATTATTTTATATAAATAGTTTTATTTTAAAAATAAATCTATATTTTATGCATAAAAAACTGTAAATTAAAAAAATTATAGCAAATAAATTTAACTATTCATAACAATAAATAATTACGGGAATGAAACTCTTGTTTAATAATTTTTATTTGTTAAACTTCTATTAAAACTGCACCAAGATAATTTATTTTCTATCCTAATAAAACATTTTATTATTTATAATAGATTTACATAATAAAAAATATACAAATAGATTAGTATCTAGTAGATTATTTGTAAATTAATATTTGAATTACGATTGGTATGCAATAATTATTGCCTGCTTAATTTTTAGACTAAATATTAAATGTAAAATAAACCCGTTTATTATAATTATTTATTGACTTATTATTAATAGAAATAATTAATTTTATGTTTAATTATTGGTTAAATAACAATGTTAATTATTTTCAGAAATTTAATCAAATAAAATATTATTTAATATTAACATTAATAAAAAAAATAATAAATTATTTTTTAGTAATTAGTAAAGATGATTATATTATTGTTAATAATTATTAAAATTTAATCAAAATTGCAAAATGAGTAATCTCATACTTTTTATTCAATAATATAATGAACCAACACATAATTTTATAACAAAATG